TGAGTGCTTGGCCAGAGTAGCGACATCAGAATGAGGTCCTACCCGAGCAACCATGCAGGAAGTCATGGATGAGATGACCTTTGAAGTGTCATAGAGTGATTCGTTCACCTTTTTAGGTATTAGGCTAGTCTTTTTATGACATGAATATGGGCTGAATACTTACACCCAACTGAATGTCATCCTTGCCTAGAAACATGGGATGGCCACCGAGCATTGTTACTGCGGCTTCAGTAGAAACTCGGGTACGAGTGCTGCGCTTGCTGAACATCATAGCAACAGCCTTGCCGGCAAGACCAGCATTCAGGTAGCTAGCAGGAGCTCCACCCTTGACAGCAATTTTTCGCGTGTTGGCATCGCGAACGAGATTCGCAAACTCAGTAGGAGTGAGATCAGCAATGGTCATAAGATGCCGAGGTGTTGTAGCCTGCGTATAGGCTCGCTTTTGAAGGCCTGCAGCGGCTCCTCGAGCGATTCGGAAAGTTGAAGTCTTCATTATGGACTGTGTACGTGCTGAAAATGTGGACGAGAGGCTGCACAGTCTCGTACTGAGGTGGGTGGCTTACAATTGAGTTGTTTGGTAAATCAATTGCAGAAGACTGAAGTTTTTATTTAATCAATAGCTAAAATAGATGAGTCGGTGGATGAAGAGTCACTATTGGATGATGTACTAGAACTGGGGATAGGCTGTTTGTTCCTACCATCTCAACAGCGAGTCACAAGCGGCAAGAGTCAAGGCTCCACTCACTTTCTTGTTACTTGGGCCGGTTTCGGGATACTTGACAACTGTACAATATGGATGCCGAGCCTGAGTATACATGTTTACATTACTTATATTGGCAATATATGTGATTTATGACTGGTGTTGATCGTGATTCATGCCAAAAAAAATTAATGACTTGGAGTTTCAAACCTTTGTGCTGTTGATGCGAGCCTCCTTTCAAGTAAAAGCCGCTATCGGCATCTGAATTTGCAATGGTGATGGCCCTGTTGGTCCACAGAGCTCCCACTCAACACTCGACTTACGCTAGAGCCGGCAAGGTAACGAATATTACTTTCGGCCACAAAGACAACGCACCTGATAAGAAACTGGAACTACCTGGGTAAATAGTAACTGAGCACAACCTTGAAAGGCTACAGCCAGATACACAGGTACATTGACGGGAATATGACTCTAGGCACTACGTTGTGTAATTGAATAATTCCATATCTTGTCTAAACTCGAAACCCAGGCATGCTGGTTTAATGGGAAAATGACGTCGTGCCCAAGAATCCCCAGCCTAGGTCCCAGTAGAGTCAGGCAGGGTGGTGCTGAGGCTTGGTTCCTGGATCAGAAGGGCAAAAGCCAATCAGGACACAATCCTCCACATCCTTATCAATCTCGCGCCTAATTGAACCCTGTGGAGGTGACTGGCTTACCCCATCAATGACGAGTCCCTTGCCCAACCTTAACTCATGGTTTACTCTTCATTCCTACATCAACTCATCTCCAAGTCATCCTGAATAATATCAACAACAACAACAACAACAACAACAACAACAACAACAACAACAACGACCTTCGAACACCTATATTATCACATATTTTGTTATTTCACCCCCAGAATTGCGACACCTCATCTACCTGCGCCCAATGCGCGCATCGACTACTAATTAAGCGGTCTTCATTCTTCGATATTTCACAATGCCAAACAACGAAACCGAGCCTCTCGTCTCGCCAACGCGTGAGGAAGAGGATCCCACCGAGTCATCACCTCTTCTGAACCGTACTGATGACAACCAACACGCCGATGTTGCGGAACATGATGGAGATAGTGAACCTACATCTCAGCCCCAGTCTTGGGGTTGGAGTTTCTGGCCAACACGTAACAAGAGCAATACCAAATTATCTTGGCGATGGCCTTCCATCATTGCCATGGTTATTCTTGGTATCATCGTTATTCTCATCATAGTTCTTGGTTTCCTGGTCCCTCCAGCCGTCAAGGAGTACGCCGAGAAAGCTGCTGTGGTTGAACCCACCAACTTGTCCATCGAAAACATCACCAGTGATGGCATCCGGGCGCGTATCCGCGCAAATGTCTATCTTGACGGATCACGGGTTGACAACAAGAATTCTCGTCGCATTGGGAAAGCAGTGACCGGGATCATGCGGAAACTAGAGACCAAGGAGACCACCGTAAACGTCTACCTGCCCGACTACGCTGATGCTCTTGCTGGCACTGCTGTTATTCCGCCTCTGGTAGTTGATATTGTTAATGGTCATGCCAACGAACTGGATTTCGTGGCAGAGGTTAACCCTGGCGATGCTGAGCATATTCGCAAGATCGCGAATGATTGGTTGGACGGAAATCTGAAGAAGCTGAAGGTGGTGGGCAAGACCAAGATTCACCTTCAGTCGGGAGTCTTCCCACTCGGGTCTCATGATGTGGCGGAATCTATGGTTTTTGAAGGTCAATCTCTCTACCGTTCCTTTGCCTCCTTATTTCTAGGAAAGAAATCACTACTTTAATCAGACCAAATATTCACATCCAGAACTTGACTGACACCATCATAGCCAATGAGATCCCGAACATGCCAGAATACAACATAGAACGCATGGACCTTCACGATCGCCCGGTAGATGGTCATGGACGGGAAGTCATCGAGGCCGACGTATCTTTGAAAGCTCACAACGACTACCCCGTATCTTTTCAAGTGCCGACTCTTGGTTTTGAAGTTTTGGTCCCCAACTGCGACTCAACATTGCCGTCTATCAGTGTTGCAGATGCCATCACCGACCCTATTGATGTTGGTGCCAAAGCGGACGTTCATGCCAGCGCCAAAGGAACCATCCGTGACATCCCAGAATCCCTCATCAAAGCATGCCCTCACTCTGAGTCGTCTCCCTTGGACAACTTTATGGATCGTTACTTGCACGGCGAAGACGCCAAAGTCTTTGTAAGGGGAAAGAAACTCAACGACACCGACACTCCAGATTGGATTTCAGATATCCTTGAAAGTATCACGGTTCCTATCGACTTTCCTGGACGGTCATTTGACAGCTTAATCCGTAATTTCTCTTTAAGCGATGTCGACTTTAAGCTACCAGACCCTTTCGCAGACGTGGATGATCCTGATGGCGAGCCTCGAGTTTCTGGCACTGCTCAAGTACTTGCAGCCCTTCCACCTGAGCTAAATGTGAACCTGGGGGTGGACCAGATTCGCTCCAATGCTGATCTGTTCTACAAGAAGCGCAAAATGGGCGAGTTGAACTTGCGTCACTGGCAGGATGCCAACTCAACACGGGTTCACGATGAGGAGAACAACGAGACTCTGCTCAATATCACATCACGACTGGTTGACGTCCCCCTAACGATCACCGATGGCGATGTATTCAGCGAAGTTATGCAAAAGCTACTATTTGGTGGCGGTGATATCACACTCGACATCAAGGCCGAAGTCGATGTCAAGGTTAAAACTGTCCTCGGCATCTTGACGGTAAAGAAGGTTCCCGCCGAGGGCAAGATTCCAGTAAACGGTCCGTCATCGCTGTGGTAATCTCTTGCACTCCCCACGAGGACGAATAATCCTTGTTTACACTTTGAAGTATTTTCATAACACGCCTCACAGCCGTATCGAGAGTAATTGCTGACTTAACTTAAGGATTCCCCGGTAACGCGCTTGGTAAACTTAAACCTGAGGTCGGTGAGATCGAAATTCTGGAAACGACAGAGTCAAGCATCCAGATGAGAGCCCTTGTCAACCTCACAAACCCTACACCCTATGCAGCTGTTATCCCTTACCTCAGCGTGCATATTCTACATGATGGTAAACTTCTTGGCGAAGCTATATCAAGGAATGTCACCTTCAATCTCGGGAAAAACACAAATCTTCCCGTTCATGCAACCTGGGACCCTCTACGATTTGGCGGCGAGGATGCACACGAGGTTGGCCGCAATCTTCTATCAGATTACGTATCAGGTGAGAACACAACTTTGACGGCACGAACACACAAGAAGAGTATCCCGAACGTTCCTATAATAGGCAAAGCCTTGTCAAAGATCAACATTACCCTTCCCGCGCCACGGATAACAGTCCCTGGCGAGGACGGAAACGATGGTGAGAGGCCACGCTTTATTACAGACGCTACTTTCCATCTCTTTTCGTCGACGGCCAGTTTTACACTTCTTTCTCCCCTATTATACAATACTTTATACGTAGAACACATCAACGCTACTGCTCTTTACAATCATACGGAACCCATCGGTCAGATTATACACGACGAGCCGTTCCCAGCAATACCAGGACGTTCTCAGACTCCACGCCTCCCTGTGGAATGGTCTCCCAGCCGCGTGGGCTACGGCAAGCTCAAGGAAGCACTGGGTGGATCGCTTAAGTTAGACGCTGTAGCCAATGTCACGATTAGGCTAGGCAGCTGGACTGAAACGCTTTATTACAGAGGGAAAGGTATCAGAGCCAAGGTTGGCCTATAGACAACCGATTCGAAATATCTTTGTACAGAAATGTTTGGAGTTTGGGGTCCTTCTGATAATTGGGACAATACGGATCCCTCGAGGCGCATGCTTCCTTAGAAATAAAGACCTAGGGTATATGAAATTGATTTCGCTTCATTGCCGTGCATGATACTATTCTAAACTGCACCCGACAGTACAAAAAGCTATGTTCCCGAACAGTGCTCAGGATTACTCCACGGTCATTCCATGAACATTGACCTAGCCACCATACATACAAAGAAAGAAGCACAAAGACTGAACATCCTTAGGGGCGTATCAATTCTCATGTTCACCCCAACACCCGTAGAGTAGGGAATTATTCTTGAGCCAGTAGCAACAGCCATGGTAGTATAAAAAGTCTTGAACGTGCTAGCAGTATCATGGTCATCATTCAACAATCATCTTCAGCTGGCAAATCAAACAGAAGCCAAAAAACAGTCACCCAGGTAAACCCACCAACTTCGAAACAGCACCAACTCTACTTTAGACACAATCAGTTCAACAGTCAACATGTCTTCTCAAACTTCCACAGAGAACAACACTGTCGAGATCGACAACAACAGCATCCTCAATGCTTCAACTCCCAAAGCCTTGGGAGTTCCCTCGGCAGACAAGTCAGCCAAGGAATCAAAGCCAAGCCAGGCTCTGGACGAGATGGTCGAGGCTCTTGACGCAGAGATAGAGCAGACAAAGGAGGGGATGAGGGCCGTCTGGGAAGAGATTGCCATTGAAAATGGGAAGCTCTACACGATCCAGGAGTGGATTTAAGAGTTGATGCAGGCTTCACTTGACGCCTTAAAGAGCGCTGAAAGTTGAGTGTGAAGGCAGACTTTTACGAAGAAAGATAGTCTGAGGAAAAGAGGAGGCCCTAGACACAGTCAGTTCGCATGGTATAGAACATACCTGAATCTAAATCTTTATTTTCACATATTAATACCGACCCAGCGTGACCACCACTTGTGATAACAGAAAACTTGGCTGCTGAGATCACAAGAGATGTAACCATCAAGACCCTTACCATGGCTTCGACAAGACTCACATAGTACCTTGACCGAGAAGTAAGCCGGCTCTTCTAACCATTGTCTCACAGTGTCAGCAGGAAATAAAATCTCGAATATGAAAGCACACAAGCAAAGGGTAAAAGCACCTTTTTTTGATCTGAATTGTCCATTGTCGGTATTACTATTCGTAGCCTGCCATAAAAAAACATCCTGTGATAAAAGTGAATTATGCAAGTCGTACACCAGCTTCCTTTCGCTTCTTGAGCTGCTGCTGGGCTGCCAGACTCATGCCGGCAGACTGGCTTGCGTCAAACATACTCTGTGATTCGCGTCGCTTCTCGTCCTCGATCTTCTTGAGACGCTTCTCTGTCTTGCCTTTGCCACTGCCCTTGCCGTGGAACTGGTGACTGAGGTGCTTGAACGCCTCCTTGGTGTCGAGGGCACGGCCTTCGTCGTCGGCGTACTTGAGATCGACCTTGGGCTTGTATCCGGCCGCGTACAGCTCCGTCAAGCGCTTAGATCGCTGCTGATCACGCCAGTTGTTCTGTTGGCGGGCGTACTCCTCACGTTCTCGTACTGACATTCGGTCGAGTTTGCCACTCTGGCGGTCGCGTTCACGCTGGCGACGGGTCTGCTCGTCCAATTCTTCTTCCAGAAGACGTTTCTTGGTGAGGAAGTCTTCTCGGTCACGTAGACTGCTGTACTCTTCGTCACCTCTTGCTTCCTTAACGAGACCGCGTTCTCTGAGCAGCGCTAGTGTCGCACCCATACCACCCCCGACAGCCTTTTCTTCCTCAACGACATTCGTCTCGTGCGTTTCCTCAATGGCTGATGTCTGAGGCATTTCTTCTTCAACTTCTTGAGCATCGTCGCCCATGGGGTGATCCTCATCAAGTTCTGGTGACTTTGATACAGTCCTTGGTCTTTTAGGCTTGCGCTCTTCATTGTCGCCAGGCTTGCTCAGGCCGGCAACAAATTCCGAGACTTCTCCGAGAACAAGACCTCCCTCTTGTTCCTCTACTGGTTCTGGTTCATTCTCATCCTCTTTGAGAAGTTTGGCAATATCTTCAGGCCGGGTCTTCTTCCGCTTCTTCAAGGCGTTCTTTCGTTGAATTGCTAGTGTTGCTTGAAGATCGTCGTCCACGAATGTATCATCGGTTGCCTTTCTCTTCTTAATGGTCGTGTCCTTTGAGTCGATGTCCATGGAGTCACCTGCAGGTACTGTTTCGACAGCGAACAGATCGTCATCGTCATCAGTAGGCTTTTGTCTAGTACCCTTCTTGTTCTTCTTCTTCTTGGGCTTCTTGACTTTGATCTGCGACGGATCAATGTAATCTGAAGAAATAGGGGCATCACCTGTAAGTTGGATGGTTAGCATCGAGTGATGAAGCGAAGTGAGTAATGGCAGCTTACCAATAACGTCGTCCAAACTAACGTTTTGCCCGCTCCTCGTTTTATCAACCGGTTTATCCAAGATATCTGAGAGCTCTGCAATTACTCCACTTGTATCGAGTGTGAACTTTTTGGACTTTTTGCCGTCGATCTCCTCATCATAGTGTGACAAGATACCACGTTCGCCCTCCTCGTCGTCATCTAGAGGGTTGTAGCCAGGCTTCTTCTTCTTGGTGTCAAGTCTCTCGGCGAGCTTCTCGGCTTCGCGCATGTTGAGGTTCTCCAACTCGTCGCCTTCGACCTCGTTCTCATCGATGGTTGTATCCTTGAGGGTAAGAATCTGTTCGTCACCATCGAGGAAGCCCGCAGTGTCGTGCCCAACTTTGATGCCTGCAAGGTCCTTGGAAGTATACTGAACAGCAGCGGCAGCTTCAGCCTCGGCAGCAGCGAGCTCTTCCTCCAGCTTTCTGACTTTGGCGATGTTCTTCTGTCGTTTCTTCTGGCCTATGAGCCAGTCTTTTGCGCTGAGATCACCACCTTCTTCGGCTTCTCCGAAGCCCTTGCCTTCCAGTAATGCGTTGCGTTGCGCCTGCTCTCGCGCTTTTCGAACGGCCGCGGCTTTCTCTTCACGCTTCTTCTTGGCCTTCTCGGCTTCCATCACTTTGTTGTAATTGTCATAGGCCTGAGCCTGTCGGCTTTCGAGAGTACTTGGCGCGTCGCCATCGGCATACATTGATTCGTTTTGTGTGGCATTTTCTCCCGGCACGGGCAGAGGCTTCATGCCCAGGGAGATGCGAATCCGGTTCGTCTCTTCTATCGTAGCGGCGTCCATCTTGTCTGCGTTGATGAAAAGGTTATCTTTTGGCAGGCAGAAAGGTAGGTAGTATTAGTGTATGTTAATACCTGGTTGACCCACATGAGATCTTATCATCACGTGCGTTAAGAAGATACTTCGAGGATGGCTAAATTTTGGTATGACGGTATGTACCTTTGTAAGTCTGCCTGAACTCCAGCCTACAGGTATCTACTAAGGCTTAAAGATGGAAACGAACAGTTCCTCAGCCTCTAAGTTTCAGAGCTTAAGAGTAAGCCATCTAAGAATGTTCTAAAATATTACAGGTTGAGTCATTGGTAACTTCGCCTCTCTTGCGTCAACGGACAAACTGAAGTTTTCTGAGCATTGGTGAGCACGGCTCATTTTTAATGTATAGAACGCGATGGGCAAGGACGCGACTGACAGTGTAAAACTCCGAGGTTAGACCGAATTATGTAATCCACATTTTGACCAAAAAATTCATGTATTTAAATCTTGCGATGGCCGCCCGAGTTTTGATTTTTCTTTTCTTCCTTAAGCAAACACGGATCTGTGCTTTGCGATCCTCTGCCCTTTCGGGGGTCAGGGTCGATTGCTCTGCAGCTCGATAACTTATAAGGAGCCATCAACTTGTTATGGTGTCAATTTTCCTATCGACAGGTCCAAGAGTAACAGTTGCCTAAGCCGCTTTATTCGCTGTTCCTCGGAGCAGCTTGAGTACTGGGGCTTTTGCAACGAGACGCTATATTCCACCCCCCTTTTCCGAGACCGTTGGTTAGTGAGGTTGGGGAAAACCATGGCCTACCTACATATCTTATTATCTTAAAATTGCTTGTGATGTTATGTCTCTTGTGTCTGTAATTCCATTTGTCGCAACATATCTAAATGACGGATCGTCAAAATTTTTGGCGGGCCTCGTCAGGTTGCTGAGCAACGAGTGCAAATCAGTCTTGGCCTGCGACCATCGCAAGTCATGGCGGAATCACGGCATAGAGAAGATGTCTTTTGTCATGCTCGACATTTGGGCTTTTCCCTCTGTGGTGCTGCTCTACGACTGTATCGATGATGCTACCCTAGTCCAACTGACGAGAAAACATTTTACGATCTACGGCCCGTCTTCGGGTTTGGTACCAAGAACTGACTAGAGCATACCATGATGCTTGGGTCTTGTTCTCCTTGCTCTTTGTGTACGTCAGTTCTCGTCACAGGTTATCCAATATTGCGACCACAGGATAGGTCGGTGGGCTTACGTGATGTGGTATGAGTGAAGCTGTATCAAGCTGAATGATGGTATGACAGCCGATAACCGAGGGCAATTTGCATGTAGAGTGCAGACATCCATACAAATTCCATGCATAAGACTCGGGTTGTGCTCGGCGCTTCAAGCCACGCGCACTTGATCCGTCCACTACCGATGCTTGCAGTCTGGGGAATTGGGAACGTTTTCCTAGTTTGGATGTAATCCGGGGTTATAGCGATGACTGACTACCTATGTATGCATCGTATTGTATCCTGTGATAGTGTGGAGAGACGGCCACGGCACGAACCGTAGGATCAGCCTAGAGGTGCGGCTATCGTTAAAGTAAAGCTCGGCTGGCATGTGAATAGTTAGGTCTGGTTAGTTGAAGGATATTTTATCAGGCTTGAAATCTCATACCTACCTATTAGAGGTAGTCCTAGAGGATGTTTACCCCACATTCATATTAGCGAACTCATCGTCAAGTTGGAGAAAGGCGTCAGTCACAAGAGCCTGTACATAGTAGTCACCTGCTACTGATTATACTACATACCTAATCAAAGGAATTATTGTTACTTCTGTTTCGTAATATTACTTATGAAAATAACACTACAGTGATCTCGAGGCCGAAAGAGGTGATCATAGATTCAACAACAACTGACTACACCGTCTTCCTTGTAGAGGTGATGCCAACGACCATACCGAACAACAACACCATCTTTAATCAACTGCACTAAACTATTATTATTCGACTCGGCCTCATTCCAATTATTCGGCCCTTTAAACCACACCGCACTATCCCCCAAAGGCCTACATCCGTTCTTCACGACCGCTTCAACTTCCGTCCTTCCATATCGGGCATCTAACAACCATACCCTAGACAGCATCGACTTTGCAGCACCAAATAATTTTACCAGAGTCGACATGCCGGCTCTCTATAAAACCTTGGCGATGGATCTATACAATGGTGAAGATACAGTCTCATCACTCTCACTCAACTCTACTGTTTCCTTGATACAGCCCATCATGTACTTCGTTTCTTCCGCTTTCCTCCTCGGCTCATTTGCTCTACAGAGCGTCTTGGGCCGACCAGCCCTACAAGAAAGGCAATCTTCTCTCGAATCCTTCATCAATTCCGAGAGTTCGATTGCTATCGAGCAACTCCTGTGCAACATTGGTTCTGATGGCTGTCACTCTCAGGGTGTTGCTTCCGGTGTTGTTATTGCGTCTCCAGATACCGAGGACCCTGACTGTAAGCGAAACCAACAAGCCAATATCACATGAGAAAAACTTGAAACCCTTACTGATAATTGTCAGACTTTTTCACTTGGACTAGGGATGCTGCTCTTGTCTTTAAATATGTTATAGATAGGTTCATCAACCAGTACGACGCTGGCCTGCAGAAAAAGATCCAACAATACATTGCATCTCAAGCCAAGCTTCAGGGAGTTTCTAACCCTTCAGGATCCCTCTCAGACGGTTCAGGTTTAGGAGAAGCCAAGTACGAGGTTGATCTTAGCCCCTTTACTGGTGGTTGGGGTGAGTACCCATCCATACCATGAACCCCCGAATGGAAACCCATGGCTAACAATTGTGAAGGTCGACCTCAGCGAGACGGTCCAGCTCTCCGAGCTACTGCCATCATCACGTATGCTAACTGGCTGATTGATAACGGATACACTTCTACCGCCTCTGACATTGTTTGGCCTGTTGTTCGCAACGATCTTAACTATGTAGCTCAATACTGGTAAGCATTATAGCCTCAACATCCGGGACAAACTCTGACTATCATAGGAACCAAACCGGCTTTGACTTATGGGAAGAGGTCAGGGGAAGTTCGTTCTTCACAACCGCTTCTCAGTACCGAGGTTCGTCGATGAGCCCTATATATTTATTCTAATATGTGCGCTAATCAATATACCTCAGCTCTCATTGAAGGCGCCGCTCTGGCCAAAAAGCTCGGAAAATCAGGAGACACTTACACCACTATCGCACCTCAGGCTCTTTGCTTCTTGCAGACTTACTGGATTCCCTCTGGCAAATATGTTGATTCCAACAGTAAGTATTGACCACCTTGTCTTCACCTCCGACGACACACATTACTCACCGGATGCACAGTCAATGTCAACGATGGACGTACTGGAAAGGACGCCAACAGTATTCTCACATCCATCCACAACTTCGACCCTGCCCTGAGCTGCGATGCCGCTACTTTCCAACCATGCAGCGATAAGGCCCTCGCCAACCATAAAGCAGTTACCGATTCTTTCCGCTCATGGAACATCAACAAGGGAATCTCCCAGGGAAGCGCCGTATCTGTTGGAAGATACATCGAAGATGTTTATTACAACGGTAACCCTTGGTACCTTGCTACGCTCGCTGCGGCTGAACAGCTCTACGATGCGCTTTACGTCTGGAAGCAAAAGGGATCCATCACTGTCAACGACGTTTCTCTTTCCTTCTTCAAGGATCTTGTCTCTGGGATATCTACTGGTACTTATGCTAGCGATTCTACCACCTTCGAGGCCATCACCGATGCCGTCTCCAAGTATGCTGATGGATATGTGAGCATTGTCCAGAAGTATGTTGGTGACAATGGCGCCTTAGCAGAGCAGTTTGACAAGAACAACGGACGTCCCCTTTCTGCCACAGACCTGACCTGGTCGTATGCTGCTTTCCTCTCTGCTGCTGACCGCCGAGCCGGTATTGTCCCTCCTTCTTGGGCGAGCGGCGCAGCTGTTGTTCCTCAGCAGTGTGGAACTCAGACCGTCGCTGGCTCGTACTCGCTCGCCACTGCAACCTCGTTCCCGCCATCGCAGACTCCCAAGGGCGGCGTTCCATCCCCCACGGGCACCCAGCCTACAACTTCACCTACTTCTTGTGCTATCGCGACTTCAGTTGCTGTTACATTCGTTGAGACGGTCACCACCAACTTCGGCGAGACCATCAAGATTGTTGGCAACATCCCTGCTCTTGGTAACTGGGACACTTCGAAGGCTGTTGCTCTGAGTGCCTCTGACTACACCTCTTCCAACCCTGTGTGGAAGGCAACCATCTCTCTTGCGACAGGACAAGATATCCAGTACAAGTACATCAACGTTAAGAAGGATGGCTCTGTCACCTGGGAGAAGGACCCCAACCGCACCTACACTGTCCCCAAGACATGCGCTACAAAGGCCACCAAGACGGATAAGTGGCAGTCGTAAGAAACTGCATCATTTCCCACTCAGTTTTTGTTACCTCTGGACCTGTAGAGTGTATTGCACAGACTGCCTGGATATTTTCTTTTGTCAAGTTTAGGTGATGTTACTACAGGGAGAAATGTTATACACGTACGAGCCTATATTAGAATGACTAAATGCATTATTGTGACGTTTCACTACTTGTGTGTCTTTCGTCAGCTCGATTTGGTGAATGTCGAATCCAGTCCGTGGTCGCTGACTAATGGCAAGAATTGTATCTAAAAGCGTGTGCTTAATGATAGATATTAAACTTTGAACATTGTTTCCATGATAGTTATGTTGATTCTATGCCTTCTCGTAATAGCCTACACATCACCCTCGGCCATTCCTTTACGCAAACTCGTCATCGGCTTCCTCAATCTCGTTCTTAACACGGACCAAGATCGTTGTCTTCCACTTATCCAACTTGCTGATCTGGTCGAATTGGAACAGACGGTCGGTGAACTGATCTTGGCTCTTAGCTTCGATAGCTTCGCACAAGTCACATAGGAGCTGGTGCTCTCGCTGAGCGCCAAACGAGGGGTCCATATCGCGGTACTTCTCGAGGGCGCGCTGGGCAGCGACAAGATCGCCGCTGGCAAGGTGGCAGATGCCTGCCTTGAGCAGGTAGTCCTTGACGCTGTACTTCATGAGGTTGTTGTTGATTGACTGCTCAGCCACCTTTTCGTACTTCTCGATAGCCTTGTAGTAATCTTTCTCGAGGGCGGCCACATCGGCAACCTTGAGCCATAGCTTGTTGGCAAGGCTTTTCTTTATTAGCATTATAGGCGAACAGAACTACGATATCCGACTTACGCAGCAGCGTTATCGCCCTCGTACCAAGTGGCAGCGAGTTCGTAGCATTCGATCGCGCTCTTCGCATCGCCGAGATCCACCTCATACAGCTCACCAAGGTTCTCCTTGTGAGAGGCTGCGCGACGGAAGTTACCCTTGGCGCAGTATCGATCGACGGCAACGTTCAAGCACCTCGCGGCAGCCTGAGGATCGTCTTTGCGGTAGGCCTTAAATGCATCGACGAGGGTGTTGGCGGCATCATCGGGCTCCTTGAGCTTATCGGTCTGGACTTGCGCGGCCTGTTCGAAAGCCTTTCCGGCCTCGAGGTCTACAGTCGCGCATTGTCAGCTTCCGTTTCAGAGTAGAAGTTGAGGCAAAGCGGTAAAGGGCATACTCTGTTGTTGCATCTTGAAGGCATTGGCGGCCTGGGTAAAGAGATCGGCGGCTTCTTGGTACTTATCCTCTCGTCCCCCAAAGAAGCTGAAGCCGCCACCGGCACTTTGGAGCTGCTTCTGAGCCTGAATGTTGCGATGCGTCAGCACAAGATCGTTTCTAACAGCCAAGACTAAGATCAAGGCGGGGGAGGGGTTGTTGCGGAACCTTTTGGAGGAGAGCTCGGGGGTCTTGCGCCATGATTTTGAGATTTGATGAAAGGGGGTATTAAGAAAGAGTTGTAATAAAAAACAAAAGGTGAAAAAGTGCCACGTTGAAGTTATCAAGAGCTGACTGATGGTTGTAAGTAAAGATGTCAACTGGTGTTGCGGCGTGGTTGGCGGCTGAGCTATGACGACGGGGGTCGCCTGAGCCACAGTTTAGAGGGTGGATTTAGTGGGTCACAGGCTTCTGTAACACCTTAGTGTCCGCTTCAGTTCGAGATTGAAGATTCCATGATGGACAATATTTCATGTTGACCATTGACTGAATTGGCGATCCACCACCACATGAAAAAGATACATGTCGAGCAGCAAACGAAGGGAATATATTGATATCGAGTGTAAAAAAAATGGCAATCTGCGCTTCTTGTCGACTCGCGCTTCGGCGTACCATGACCATAAATCCAAGCAAAAGCACAACAACTCGATCAATTACTACCAAATCTCCCACCGCCGCCTCGATTCTCCAGAAGCCTACCTGGTCTATTCGGAGTCTTCTCCCCTCTTCTTCATCTTCGGAATCAGCTGAAAAGATCACGCCTTCACAACTACACCATCTCCTTCGCCTCTCAGCTCTACCACTTCCCACCACGTCCGCTGATGAGGCCACCATGATCAACACTCTCCAAAGCCAACTGCAATTCGTCCGTGCAGTGCAGCGCGTTGACACAACTGGTGTCGAGCCTCTGAGAGCAATCCGCGACGAGACATCAAAGGCTCGACAAGAGGTGACGATTGAGCTTGCAGATCTACAAGAGGCACTGAGCAAAGAGGTTCGCATAGGCCATTACCAGCGGCCAAGGAGAGTGAGGGAGAAGGCTGAGTCCAATGCGGAGAAGTGGGATGCTCTGAGTACAGCGAGCAAGACGGCGGGGAGATACTTTGTGGTCGAAAGTGGAAAAAAGGATATTGAAGGCGCAGAGTGATGGGGAATTTATTAGTGTAAAAACCTACTCTTAAAAATGAAAAGGGAATGCGACATGATACCCTCTTGTATAAAACAATATTACCCAGACACCGCGTCACGTTGTACTTGATGCATCGTCCCTTTGCTCGCTTAAATCTTCATGAAGAACCCTCCCCCGCCATATAACATATCTATGTTCATATCATCATGATTCGTGCTCATCTTTCTTTATCCTTCTTATTTGATGATCTGTCGCCCCCATTAATCTAAGACTTGGCTTCTGATGACCCATCTTTGGATTTCGGCTTGGGCACTTTTTCGTATGCATTTGGACTTGGCGCTCTCTTGTCTTTGCCTTTTCCGCTTCTTCGGCCTCGTCCGTGGTTGTGCCCATGTCCATGACCACAGGCCTGACGTTTACCACTTGCTGGTTGTGCGCCGTCACGATCAGATTCCGAGTCGGAATCAGAATCTGAGGAGGATTCATCGCTGGACTCATCGACAGCTTTAGGTTTGTGATAAATACAGCACACTGTTGTGTCTATGTTAGACTGCGCCTCTTAAATGCTATAATCCACATCGTTCACCTTTTGAACTCTTGCGTCCAAGACCTTCGTTGTCTATTACATCCTCCGCCCACTGGACGGATCGTCCGTTGGAAGCATGTGCACCCCGAAGTCGCAGAATTTGAGGAGCCTGTTCGCTTGTCTCTGGTGTTTGTGTCGGAGTTTCGGTTTGTGTTTGTGAGGGCGCTGGTGCGCTTTGTTGCTGTCGTTGCGACATGGTGTGGCCGGCTTTTACTAGTCGCAGTCTTATTTGTTGTTTCACCAAGTTGTTGGGAAGAAAATAAAACGGTGCGCTGCGGAAATGGAGATTGCAATTATCACGCGTTTGTTGATAGAAACGTTTGGCAAATGACAGGAATGAATTGTAATCGGGTTTTAGTGATCATCGATGGAGGGGCGCAAAGAAAAATCCGGGGTTGATTCGCCCCACGTCATGCAACTTGTTTATCAATTGGGTGAGCTTTGACACATCATTTATCCGCACATGTACATCACTCGGCGCCAAGTAAAGTAAACTATTCTCACCTGAGCAATAACAGCATTGGTGTCTTTTGTCAATTGATGTTATACAAGGTTTTGGTACAGTCTATACTTCTAGGTGGTATACAACGTCAAGTCTTACACTCATTCATCATACAGCTTAAATCATGGCAGTATTCAGTTTGCTGCCCTCCTCTCAATCTTGTCCTTCCTTTTAACACCCTTCATACTCCTTCGAGGTCGGCTCTTCTTATGCTCTTTCAATACACGGGGTTTGTTGTTTAACCATCCCTGAATAGGTTGGCGAGAACCGATGAACTGGCCTTTGGGACTAAAGACGTCAACCGCTGGCCACGCAGGATCCAATGGGGGCTCGGGTTCCTTGCGTCTCGCCTGTACAACGGGTGCTGTATCTCTTCGTTGAGACTTCATGGCGGCGAAAGGATCAGAGGTATCAACTGGCCTTTTCCAAACAGTCTCGTCGGCTTTGGTCTGTTGCTGTTGTTGGTCGAACACCTTCAGAGCGACATCACGAGCACGAACTTGTGCGACGAGCTCGACATAGCCCACACCTTCGATGAGGATATCCGTAGATAGAACTCTGAAGGGAAGCCTGTCGACATTGAGACCGACCGCATTCTTCCTTGTAAGTGGACCTGCTCTCTTCCTGGTAACATCGTGTGACAGCTTAAATGTCCCAGCATGCTTCATCTTGTCTCCAATGCCAGGAAGCATGATACTCGGCACACCAGCAGACTCCCTTGTTTGCTCTTGGAAAGCAATGGCCTTGTCGGTTTGAGTAAGATGCTCATCCAAAGGTGTGAAATTGTAAGCCAAGATAACCAAATTAGGGTTCTTGGGTGTGATGCGAATTAGACCACCACCAAGGATGAGCGACTTGCCCGGAGTCATGGAGATCTGCTCAGGTATAATGCGCTTCTTCATAATTGTCGATTGCCGGGCCTCCTCTTTCACGAAAAGCTCCAAGTCGCTGCGTGCCAAGCCAGGAAGATCGATTAATTCGCCCTTTCCGTTCCCAAATGGAACTCGAATAGGAGAAGCAGTTGTACCGGGAAGCGATGATACCAGAGGCATGTCGGGATAATTCTTGGCTGGCTGTGGGGGCGGTAACAAGTCTCCGACATCTACATCCTTGTCCTGAATCGGCTGTGCAGCAATCGATTCTGCACTCAGGAATTCTCGAGGGTATGTCGATATCGATCCTCGGTCCTTATCATTCACCGGCCCCATCCTGCCCTTGGGATAAACAGCTTCAAACAGCTGGCTTTTGCCAACATTGACCTTTCCGACCATCCAACCCGCACCTCCACGATGCCATATGTCTTCCTTAACCTCCTTGCACCACCAAGAACGCTTTGCGCTAACACATCGGACATTACCCAGACGAACTCTGTTTCCGAGTCTTCCCAAAGCATCTCTCAGCACTTCACGCAAGTACGGCATCATGGTATCCACCATTTCTTTTTTAGGTCCTAGTAGGTCGCCTCTCGTGATGATAAAGCTGAGTTCTGTCTTGCGGTCATGCTGGAATTTGCTAGTTCGCGATCGTCGGTTGCGGGTTCTGATCGGGATGTCGCCCAGCAGAACATTAAGTCGAGGAATGAGTGACATAGGAAAATCGGCGGCGTCGATAATATGGTATATGTGGTTGTATTTGTGCGGTGATTCTTCGATTGTTTCGCGCAGCGACTCAACAGTGGGATGATACATGGGGACCTTTGCTGTACCGCCTTTTGTGCTGTAATGCTGCAAATCGTGACATCGGTCGCATACGGGTTGCTTTTCTTGAGGAAGTGCTTCTGCTAGCATGTTAGCTCTCATGGTCATGTTGTCTGTTGGTATTCAAGGTACATACTGGGAGCGACGCCGCCCTCTCTCTCAGCGCCAGAGATCAAGAGAGAAAGGTCCATTCCAAGAGCCTTCATTTGGCTCTCGTCCAAATTCTTAAAAACATCACCAACGATTTCATCCTCCTGTGTGGGTGCTTGCTGACGTTCATAAGCCCTTGGATTCAGCCATTTCTTGACTCTTTTGCTCTCTGGGTCAAAGTAACCTAGCAATTGCGGATCGTTCGTCTGTGTAAAGGCGCCGCATCCGGTACAATTCAACGGCAGTTTCCTCCTTGAGACTTCAGGGTTAAAAAGAGAAGGCGTTTCGGCAGTTCCGACAGGCGTTTCTTGAGTGGTTGTCGCTTCGGTATGATTGAATCGTCGAGTATAAACTGGGGTTTGTAGAGGCGCCGCTCTTGGCGTTCTATAAATTCGACTTGATGCTCCAGCAGGACATAAAAATAAAGGGACACTGGATGAAGCAGTAGCTTCACCAATGCTGAGTGCCCGGTTGAGCCATCGAGCTGACAATGCGCGGTGCATTGCGTTCCTCTGTCGTAAAATTTCGAGTTCCGAGTTGTCGCAACTAAAAAAAAGTTGACTTACACAGATTGTCCCAGAAATTTCCTAGGAAATGATTCTCGGCTCTGCGATGTAAAGCGGCATGTCAAAAGTGGACCTATCTACCTTTTTGTCCCTCCGGGTCAACGCTCGGCCCGCTGGCTTTCACTGTTCGCAGGGGTCTGTATGATTTTCTGGGCCTAGAGACGTCGACTTTTCGAGGTATTGCGATTACTGACCTGGTTCGATTTGGAGACACCTGCGTAACGCCTTTACGGATCAAAGGTTCGCGCAGTTTAAGATGAGGTCTCTCGGTGAGCGTTACAACAAGCTCCACAGGGCAAGTCAATTCCTCTTTACTCTCTCATGATCATGGCTAACAACTTATAGAAGGTAGATAGCTCCTCCGCAATTAACGATTTACGACCCGATGCTCACGATATAAACAGCTTGTTTCCTTAAGAGTTGGCCCCGGTGCGGCAATTCTTCCCCCGGAAGTGACCAGAATACATATGGACTTTGCCACGAGTTTCAAGAATGGTCATATGGGTGCCAAGTTCGTTACCATATATCGCACTCACCTATACATCAACTGATACACCGATATAGAAAGTTCTGGCGCGAGAACCTCCCTCGACTAAAGTACAATAACCCTTCGGTCCCTATGATCGTCAACCGACACAACCAAAATCAGAAGAAGCCCACACTCTCCATCTACCTCCGTAAGCCCGACGCCACTACTCCCGCACCAGAAACCCGCTCCCAGCCCGCTTCATCACGCAGCAACCTATCCAAAGCCACGCTTCCGGATGCCGACGAAAAGATCATCACAGTCGACATGACCGAGAAGCACTCATCCCATATCCTCGAGTTTGTCCTCGCCGAGACTCGCGCAGTCCCTCTCAAGCCTACAAAGGAGGAGATCCGCGAGTTGCAGGAAATTGATGCAATGGCTAAACAGGCCGATGTCGACCGCGCGCGCATGAGAGGCCTGCGAGAGGAGAAGCAGCGCGAGGAGGCTATGTTGAAGCGAGCCCGGGCTGCTGGTGGTGTTGCGGAGGAGGAAGAATCGTAGATGTACTTCCGTTCGGAAAAGAAGGACAATGCTGTACAATAAATCTGTATTACTTTATGCCACATAAACTGGCAAGTGTACTACTTGGAAATATGAAAAAGTTTACCAGTCATTTTTGCTAAGAACAAAAGTTTTCCTTTATCTCCTCTTTTCGAAGCCGTTTAGAATCTGAGAATACGAGGATGGTGATAGGTATGACTTACAATTTGGTGGTGATGCTGCCATGTTTACCATCCTGTCCTCGAGTAAGTTGAACAATTCCAGCTTCTAATTTAGGACTTCTCAGGTTCTCCTATAGATCTATATTCCCAAACCCATTGGTCTACCTATTAAAACTCCGTACGTGAAATTAACGCCTTTTTCATAACCTCGTCAAGTGTGTCTTTTTACTTTATTCCGAAACCTTCGCTTTCGCGCACAGCAGTCCACAACATCTTCTCCAATCTTTCTTTTGATGCGTATCGTGAGAGAGACAACATATTGAAACATGTTCGAGCGATAGGATACCTACCTTCGTCCTCGCCTAGGCAAGAAATCTTGATTGGTAGTACAGCAGCACCTGTGGCAGGGATCCGATCACTGCCAGTGATGAATGAGAGAAGTTTGCGCTGGTCTTGAGATGTAGCCTCTTGGAATGTCTCCCAGAACCAGTCAATGACAGACTCAGAGCCATCCGGCTTCTTGTTGCTCCAGTTATCATACTCGGCCACGCCCCTGAGTGAATTGATGTCAAGTGCTTCGTCCGAGCCTCGTACCAGAAGCTCGATCTCTTCTGGTCTAAAGAGGGACAAAGCATTACCTCCACATACAGTATAGAAGCCTCGTTTGAAGGGCTCAAATTGCCTTGTCACAGAAACATCAATAACGTGGCGCACATAGAGGTCCACGTATTCTCGACGATTGCTGTTTGTGACAGGAATTCGTTCACCTCCTCGGCAGAGAGGAACCTGGACCTGGGTACCGTATTTGTCCATATCAACAACAAAACCAAGACAAAAGGTCTCTTCCACGTTCCCTTCATATTTAAGCAATTGCCGTAGTCCTCGAGCCAGTCGAGGTCGATATTCAGCAAGATCTTCTAGCGTGTAGCGCATTGGCGGCTTTGGATGAGCCGATGCTCCAGTACCATGGGTAGGAGCAGATGCAATGAGTTTACGGAATGCAAAGGGTGGTAGGGCCACATCAAGAATGGTCGAGTTGTAGATGGCAAGGCCCATCACAACGCCAATCAAGAAGAACTGGTCCGATGTTTCGAAAGCATTTGGGTTGAAATAACAATACTGCGAGTCCTCGTCGTAAAGAAACAATCCTTTTGAACGTTAGTTCGAGCACTAAAGTATCGGGTTGTTCGACTTACCATGATCGGGATTGAAAACCTCTCTGACAAGAAGAAGGAACCATTCTTTCCGCAGACCGCCCGCATCCACTCCCTCTTCGCCATTGAAGGTAATGCGGAGACCCTTTTTGATATCTTCGCTCCCACTCCCAATCACCTCACTAACAGCCTTGAGACTGTCGTCAACAAGACAATCACGACGAACGGTCAACTCTAGGAACTGGTTAATGGCTTTCCGACTCATGATACTATCAAAGAAGGCATCACGTGCTTTGCTCTGCATTTGACGACGGGCATCATGCTCCAGAATATGATTCTTTGCCCAGATACTCAGAAGGAAGGGGTACTGGCAGAATGTGAATTTACTTTTTCGAGCCTCCCAGTTTTCAAAGTCCGCAACGAGGTCGGTGTAGTCAATCATTGAGTTGTAAAAGTCGCTTGTTGGGAGCATCTGGCCATGAGAATGCACGCCAGTGCACCTTCCGCCAGAAGGCGAGGAAGTTTCTTCAATTTTTCGACTGTGCAGCGAGTTGTTGGCAGCAAAAAGGAGAGCCAGAACTCGAGAAGAAGCTCTGATCTGCCAGTCTTCGCCATAAATGACCTTCTTTTCCGGCTCCTTTACGTTCTTTGACGAGGTCGACCGATTTATCTCGTCATAGAGATAGGCTCCTGAGCGACCTTCTTGCATTTGTGGAATCAGTCCGGCTGTGATGTCTACTTTGACTTCTTGCTTTTTCCCACTTTGACGTATCATGCGATATGTTAGAAAGCCGGATGCAATCTCCTTTGTTCTAACAAATCTAGAAGGGTGATACCTAGCGAACCAGGAAATCAACTGATTATGGCACTCAGGCGAGGAGTTCGACATAAGTCCTATTATGCGCTTGATAATTCCAGAATGCTGCCCAGACAAGGGGCCGGTTTCGGGGACACTGCCCTTTCTTGATCGAGTGAAATTAGCTCTGGAAGGTGAGTTGTTCTCTGGTTGTATGATTCCGTGGAACAGGTTTTCGTTCTCGTGTAAGAGAGGATTTTCAAGAATTAGAAGGAGAAAACGCAAATCTGTGGGATCTTTCAGTGGCCTCCCAGGTCGCTTCAGAAGCATCTCTGTCGCTTTCAGCAAGACACGTCGAGCGTGTTCCTGCCCCTGTAACAACTCTTGTTCTATCGACTGCAATTCACGCTGTGGAGGCGTTTGAAAGTTCTGCTCTCGGCAGATTTCTTCGTAAATCGTGAACCACCCCTTGGCAGGATTCACGATCGCCATGTACCACGTCATCAAGTCGCCCCAATTCAGTTGTGGTGTCTTCGTGTGGACCACATTAGGGGGGCTCCGTTCGACTCGGTGTGTTGAAGGCCTTCGAGGTCTTGATTCCTCCTGGTTTCCCATCCACCAAGTTCCATTCTCAGCGAAATCACCAATGAGCAGCATCTTGGGGTCAAGATCAAACGTGCTATCCTCCACTGGAGGGGCGGTCCGCGCTTGTCGCTGTTCGCTGAGGGCACGATTTTCCGAGGGAGCCCGACGGTGCCCCCGCTGCTCTCGTGGCTCATTGGGCGGCGCGGGCTTGCGACGGGCTGCTTCGCTTACATGTCTCATCGCAGGGCGAGGGTGTGTCGAGAATGAAGAATTGATACACTCGAACGAACCAAAACACGCGACCACATAGTCTTCCAATGCCTTAAAGATCCTTTTCGGGTCACTCTCGGATGTGTCTGACGAAGGTTTTCGTGCGTCTCTTGGCGCATTGTTTTGTAATATCTTCTGTACTGGCGGTCTCTCAGAATAGGAAGAGGAAAACGAACGCGGCATAGGCGAAGAGTTTGTCCGCACAGGGTTCGCCCGTAGCGTCGGCTCCTCGTCAAACGTATAATGGGAGACTTGTATAGTAGGGGATTTGGAGGAAGGAGTGTTTCCTTTTTTAGGGTCTGTTGGCGAAAGATTGCGGCTAACAGCTTGCATTCGACTGCTGAACGATAACTTGCTCTGCACAGGGGGCTCTGGTGGCGGCTCGGTTGGGGGTTTGGGGATTGGGTGCAGCCTCTTGGTCAGATAGGACTGTATCGACTGGTTAACAAGTCGCTTTGTCTGTTCGATGGAGACATGCATAACTGCATATTTGTTAGTTTTAGCCCTCCGCTGCATCCTGCTAGCTTACCTCGTGGTGAATTGACTTGAGAAGTGTCATGATTCGCGTCCTTGCGCAGCTTAGAGCCATCATGGTCTGTACTTAGAGGCTCCAAATCGTTGACTGTTGTGCAGATGGTACATTTGAAGACCTTGAGGTCCCTTGGCCAGCGTACCAGCGATCCACATGTCATACAATTTCCCGTTGCAAAATCTTTGCTTCCTGCTGGGCCATTTCCATTTCCATTATGCGAAAAGGTTCGATCATGAGTCTTGGGCGCTTGTCGAGACATCACGGCATCATCATCTGCAAAGCCCAGGTCGGGTGGTGGTGCGCCGACCGAGTTCTGCCTCTTTTTCTTGCTGCTGAAAAGAGAAGGGAAGGGCTGGCTCATAGAGCGCGTGTGTGGAGGTCGTTGAGGTCTGGAGGAAGAAGGTCTCGAGGGATGCAAGTCGGATTCGTCGGAGCTTGAATCGGCGTTGTTGTTTGAGAAGGAGAGCTCGAAGCGATTACCGTTGGACGTTGCCTGTAAGTTATTCGAGTAAAGCGCTGGCAATGTAGTTGGTGTATGTAAAGCCGTATTATGAATTCGGGTAATGAGGTCACTATTAGAGAGGTTGCTGCTGTTGTTGGGTTGGGACCCACGACGACTCAACCAGGGAGCCATTTCTAAAGAAGTTGCTACTGCAATAACGGGAATAATTAATCGACTACCAGGAGGAGGGAAACTTGATAAGATGAATTTCTCAAGTCACTGAATAGGTAGTTACCCAGGTAGACAGTATGCAGTAGGTTGGTGTAAAGCAATTATTTGTGGAAAACAAAGATAGAAAGAATATTGAAAGAAGAAATAGACTGGCTAACAGTTTAAGACAGGTTTTTCCAATAAAGCATGATTCAACATGTTCCAAAGTCGGGATGTTCCAGGTTGGCGTTGACACGAGCTCAGCTCAGCTCAACTCAGCTCAGTTCGGCCAGAGTCAGCTCAGCCCAATTCAATTCAAGGATCTCGAACAAATAGAAAAATGCGTTGTTATCGGGGTATAGAGAAGAAGGATCAACAATAATAAAAATAAAAATCGGTTACCGAGTGAGCTGTGGAACAATGACAAACGATGATGAGTGCGGCTGCGGTTGGTGAAACAAGACAAGCCCAGTTCATACAGAGATGCATATGATGTAGACAGGCGTACTGTATACGGTGCAATACTACGTGTCAAGCATGCATGGGGTAGAAAAAGGTCCATAGCGTGACCATCGATCATAATAATTAACTGAATAGCCGCAAATAAATGCAACGCGCGGCCGCCGGAATTTGAGTTCCCGCTCGTCTTGGCCTAATTTGTCCCTGACGAATTCATCCATCCCCACGAGGGTGAACTCCAAGTCTTGGATCCCCAATTGAATATCGTATTTAAACGCCGAGCATCAAACTTGACGGATATGGAGAATATCACAACACCAGAAGAGACGTGGAGCTTCGAGCAGCCACTTAGGAATGGGTAGAAAGAGACATAAAAGTGTTTATCAACAGAACAGGTCCTCTCTCTTACCGCAATCAGAAACGAGATTCGATTCACCTGAATCTACCACGAATTTTCACAATCTCGTATTGACGTGGTTGGGTAGGACTCTTTATTATTAGCCCTGTCCAATGATCGTGAGGTCAATGGCCGCATCTGGTGTTATGTAGCATGGTTGTCACATTATATCAGTTCTTGCTTGGCTAAACTGAACTCCAAAAAAAAAACATATGACCAAATTTTATCTCATCTTTCTATGGTCTGAAAGGGCTTACCATGAACTCTGATTAACGAGAGACAGCTGGTTCTGTAACTCTAAAACGTCCACGACTTCAATTCCAAGCCAAAAACAAACAAGGATCACTGTTTTAGTTCCCGCAAACGGTCCCTGTCTTGATATGTCAATGTCAACAGCCGCTTAAATCGTTAGCTCAGTTGGATGGTAGCATAAATGGATACGAGGCATATTAGACTTGGACAATTCGTATTCTTTAGGCAGTACATACTGTACTACTTTTTCATCGATGCCAATAGGAAATATGAACATCGGCTTAAATAACCGGGCAAGCAACTAACAATCAAAAGTCTGGTCATAAATTAAATTCAAGCCATTCTCATGAGTGGCAACCAATTAATGAGTACTCATGCGCTCGCTGACGTTGAAATTACAAACCTGAGAATCTCTACTCAATGCTGTAGCAACACAACCGAATTATCCATATGCAAGTGCCAGCAAGCCCTGGCGGACCGATCTCAGTCAAAGTCGACGAACCGGCCAGATGTCAAAACCACAGTGTCTCTGAATGTTCTGGCTCCAGATCGAAGACAACATCAACTTCTCTGACTGTCTCACTAAGCCATGATCTCTTGTCCTCTTCCACCCCAACTCCTATCAGCCTTACCATTTGCGAAGGTATCACCCCATGATTTGCCGTGCCGTGCAGGATAAGCTCATTCTGGCTCTGGGAAATGTTCACATCTCCCTTCAGCTCTGCCAATATTTCTCCAGGGCCATTTCGAAGCTCGAAGAGACACAGACCATGATTGATTTCCACTGGACCTGAGTAGCTTGAACTGAGTACCATTCTGACATTGTTTCCCGAGCGTGATACCTTCTTCAGGGCTATACGTGGCCCGTCTAAGGCTTCCAGTGGCATATCGAGACGCATGCTACATGCTGGCGAGGTTCTCAAGGCTCGTATAGTACACTCGCTATTCTGAAGCTGAAGACAAGTGTCTTTATCAACGATGAGACTCCGAACAAAGTTGCAATATGTGACGTAATTAGAGATATTCACACGCTGCTCCTTGACACAAAAGTCCGCGCCCCAGTAACTCGTCTGTATTTGTGGCAACTTGACTTTACCGAAGCTGGATTCGTTGAAAGATAGACAGGCCTCCATGGCATCGATGGTACTAGAAATGGTTCCTGTCCCAACAAGACGCCCTTGAATGCTAAGACAGAAAGAGCTGTCAACATTACGGTTAGTTACAAATCAAAGAACCAGTTCGTTCACCGACTCACTTTTCGGTAGCATTGCTGATCTTGAACTGGGTGGTTTCAAGCTTAGCAGCGTCGAGGAGATGCTGCACAAAGATATCCACGATGTTCAAGGGTGAGTAAAACGCTCTACCATGATGGGGCTCATGTACAAGAACTGGTCGAGCAAATTCCTTGAATAGAGGAGAGTCGGAGATGTTCATCGTGACTGAAGGAGAAAAAGGCAACGATGTATTCTGTTGCCACTGGTTGACTCGATGTGCCAGGCGGCTTGGGTTGTGCGATAATCAATATTTCGCCTCCAGAGACTGATAGATGTTGATAAATATCTGACAGAGGGAACCAAGCAGCTGCTGTATATGTATGCACATATATATACCTGCCTACCAAAATCACCGCATAGCTGTTTTTCGAGTGTCAGCAGCAAGCGCCGACAGGTGTCAGCACTGCCAATTGACCAATGCGCATGTTTCTACAGGAACGACCAAAGATCCTTTTGATATTAATCATGTCTCTCTTACTCTCGTTATTAGTACAGAGCATGAGAATCTATCTTTTTATATTAACGGTTGTTACATAAGGGAGAAGCTCAAGTCATTAGAAAACTCTCCTGTTGATGTTCACGTACCAAGTTCACGAATACTGCAGTGCTTACAACTGATAAATAACACTAGATAGCAAGTAAAACCGATCATGTCTTCTGATCTTACTCATATTTGCAAGGCTTAGACTAGATTATGTGCACGGTCAGTAGTCAGAATTGGGCCAATCCTGCCAGTTGTAATCATTGCTGACCACGACAACATTCAGTTCAAGGGCAACAAGAGCCGCTTTACGAGTGATACAGTGCTTCAAATAGAATAACCAGTAATCTTCGTTGTTGTTGATGGGGTATAGAGTAGAGAATGGCCATCAGATGCATCATACCAACAGCTATACCAACGAAGCTCCCTAATGATCTCGGAAACCTCGTCAATTTAATCAAGCTTACACATCTCAAGTCATATTTAGCACCTTAGCCCTTATTTTCGATCCTCTCTCAACTCCGAGTGGCCATCAACCACCAATGTGCTCGTGCTATGCAGTCCCTCTCTCGACAAGGTGATCGTGACGGCCAGGCCTACGAACCAACGTAGCTCCCCATAAGTCGACTACGTCAGAACCACTTCTCCTTACCAAGCTTGGCGTAAGAATCAAAATCACTTAAAATTCACTGACCGTCCAGCTATAATAGTGGTACGGCCAGATTGCCTACTGTTCTGGGCTTGCACATATGGAACAGAAAACCGCAATCACTGAATGGGCATGGTAGTTGTGGGATTTGAGGTGACGGCACGGATCGTTCATTCAGACGTGCCTCAGCGGGCGTTTGGCATAAACATTAGGTCTCTCGTCTCACATCACTGAAAAGATTGACGTCTTCACGTATCTCCCGAGCAATTATCTCGTTTTGACGGCGGCAAACATTGACCTTGATGCAAATGATTCCGAGGTTCTAAAACCCTCAAACTCCCACGGATCCCCCACGCAACCCCTGTCACATGAGCGAAACCCATGGTAGAAATTGCCCTCCATTTTTATGAGTACATGCCGATACCCTTCGCCATGCTTCTCATTTATGACCACCTAGATGATAAAATGGTTTCGTTTAAGAAGGGGGAGCAGCACCACGGCCACGGCCAAATCCACCACGGCTAGTAGCATGTTAGCAATTGATTCATTTCCGACAATCCGGACATCAAGGCAACTCACAACTGAGGAGCGAACTCGCCGGGAGCACCACCCTCCTTGCCCTCGCCAGCATCCCTTCGTCGGTATCCACCCTCACGGTCACCTCGGTCACCACCACGGCCACGGCCGAAAGGTCGTCGCTCGCGCTCGCCCTCACCGAGCATGCCACGGGGAGGAGCGTGCGATCGTTGTTGCTTGATGTGGGTAGCGGGAACGATCTCAGCGGGGAGGTGAAGCCACTCGCGGAGGTAGTCGAGACCCTCGGGGGTCAGGGTGTAGTAGTAGTATTGCCAAGAGAACTGAGTCTTGACATAGCCGCGAGAGTTGAGCGACTGCAGAGCCTTGATAACGAACAGGTTCTTGGTGTCGATATCGGGATGCTTGGGAAGGTTGAAGTCCTTCTGGGCGACGAGGACACCCTCACGGAAGAGGTACTGAGAGCCAAACTGTTAGTTATGTGCGCTATTGCAATTGATTCTGTGCAGCTCGCAATTCGCCGTCATCGTCTCTGCGTAGCTCGAAAGTATTGATTATTACCTCGTGGATCTTCTTGCGGTCGGCCTTGGGAATCAACATCGTGGCGGTATTTGCTGCTCGTCGGAAGGGTCGATGTTGGAAGGTGGCAGTTTTCGGAGGGACGAAGGCAAGATCTCAAATTGTCAACTTTTGTGGGCGGAAACCCTACCAGAAAATGCGAAGTAGCGAAGTGGGGTGGGGAAGGAGCCAAATGTGGCTGTATTCACGTGATGAGGACGATGTGGCGCGAGTTGGTTGTGTGGCAGTACACGATCCACTTTATTGTTGGACTATCTGCTGTGCATGACAACCAAACCCAGCTGGCAGCGAGCGAATCTTTGCGACAGGCTTCATTCATCTCTCAACGCTGTGTCAATACACTCAAAATCATTCGCATCATGTCTCCACGAAACCTGAATGTGCTGATCACCAGCTTTTCTGGTTTGGGACTACCACCGACTCTTGTCCTTCCGCTATCTCCATCAACAACAGTTACAGAATTGCGCGAACGCCTGGATGACCGACTACCAACAACTCAGTCAAGACTCATTCTTACCACTCTTTCGAACAAGCAACTCCCAAACTCGTCGGATTCGCCCATCTCCGAATATCTTTCCACAAGCGATGATGAATTTCTTTCCTTGCGACTCGCGGTGCCCCTATGCGGTGGCAAAGGTGGTTTTGGATCACAGCTGAGAGCCGCAGGTGGTCGCATGTCCTCACGCAAGAAGAAGAGCCAAGAGGATCATGGATCTAGTCGAAATTTGGATGGGCGACGCTTGCGCACAGTGAACGAAGCCAAGGCTCTGGCAGAATACTTGGCTATCAAGCCTGAAATGGAGAAGAAGGAGAAAGAGAAGCGCCGTGAGCGTTGGGAGCAGATCGTCCAAGCCTCCGAACAAAAGGAGGCCGAGATCAAGTCAGGTAGTAAAAGCCGGCTGGATGGCCAGTGGGTTGATGATAAGGAAGAGAGTAGTGAAAGGACTCGAGAGGCAGTTTTGGCGGCCATGAAGGCCGGCAACTATAGAGACAACTTGCTCGGCACTTCTAATGGCTCCAGTTCTACACAGCCGGGCAACAAGCAGTCTAGTTCAGACGATGAGAAGGAAGCATCATCTGAGGAATCAACGCCACCACCGGTCGAAGAGTCCAAAACCGACAAGGGTAAAGCAAGGACATTCTTCGGCTTTGACGAGGACGATGAATTCATGAGCTCGGATGAAGAGGATGAGGAATGATGGGATTGCACCCAGCATGAGATGCAAATGTCCCGAACTTTGGACAAACGTTGGACGGTATTAGTTATACCTGGCCAATTGCGACAAGCATTAATGTGATTACGGACTCTTTATTGTTAATAGGAAATTAAATTATCAGCGTTTCCAGGTCAGGCCTTTCATAGTCGAAATGGTACCAATGATTGTCATTTGACAATCTATGAGTCAAGAGACGTCATCACAAGTTCGTTGGAAAGTTCAAAGCACAACAGTCAATATTTGGGGTTAGCTTTTAAAGCATTTTCACAAATGATACAATTGCAGTGTGTCTGCTCTGAATCTTCTAACATCATCCACTATTCCATATCTACAAGTTGAGCTTAAGCGTCGAGCTTGACAGGGAAGTTGCCGGCCTCTGTATGATGCGTTAGTCCGAGTTCTTGCTCGATTGCCATCGTGGGAATTAAACATACCGCGCTGCTCATCCCAACGCTGGTACCAGCCGGAGGGGCAGAGGGATCGGTAAGACAGCCAGAACTATACGCCGGTTAGTGTGAGGCGTCGCGGGCAGGATTGTTATTCGGGATATCGTACCTGGCGGCAGGGCGCAAAGTCCTCGCCCTTGGCGATAATGCACTTGTGGTAATCGACGTAGTTTTGCCAGCAGTGCTTGGTCTGGTTCATGTTGGGGAAACGAGCATCAGTACCTAAGACATGTTAGATCGTTTCGTGGCGATTGAGACAGGTGCAATTGAGCATCGTTCTTCGGCGTCGCGTTTTTTCATTTCGGGTGTCGTCGTCGTCAAGAGTTCGATGGTGTTCGCGGGGATCGTTGCTTACCAGCTGCATGGAATAGTTAGCCTCGGGATCAGATCAGGTCATTTTTTCGATCCCGCAAGCGTGAAGCGGGATTATCAAGGACAATTGAACATACCAGTGACAAACTTGAAGGGCTTGGTAACAAGCTCCTGACCGTCGTCCGACATTTTGAATTGATTGATGAGGAATTGACTTAAGGGAGGGGAGATTGGTCAATGACGGCGAGTATGGAGCTCGGTGCGTTTTGGATGGAGAGAGTGAATGCGTTGACGTTGTCCGACAAGGCTCGAATCGGGTGGTTCGATTTCCAGAGAGAGCTTGCTCAGTGTGTGCCTCAGGCCTTAGTCATTCCGGGCCAATGGCGTAAGGCACCCATCACAGCTGGTGGAGCCCGCAGTTCGCAATTGCACATCAGATGTTCGTTCGGCCAACTCCAAACATTGGACTTAATTTCCAATTGAATCATCATCTCTGGACCTCTTTTCTTTAGACCCTCCCCACTCACTCACCTCAAAGATGCGTTCTACCGCTGCTCTCCGAATGTTCAGGCAGACGCCTCGCATGCTGCGACCCGTCCCCGTGAGTGTTCCCGTTTCAATGGCTGAGAGAACGAGCTCTTTTAGCCCTCGGCTTAGTATGACATCAATCGCTGACCAGGTTTCGTATTACAGAAGGAGGACCAGGCTGGTACGTAATCACAAAGGCTTTCGTCAAGCTTCATCGAACGAACCGAAACTTCGAGCGAGGATGCACACATGTCCCAATTAAGCTGGACACTAACAGAATCACAAGGCCACACCATCTCTCAGCGACTCCGAAAGCTCAAGCAGATCCCTCCTGAGCTGTACCCCCTCGGTAAACCACAAAACTCCCGATTGATATTCTATATGTTCTAACACGCCATCCAGCTGTCGTTGTCGGCTTCGCTCTCGGCGCTGCCGGCTACTCCATTTCTCGCAAGTTCATTGTCGACAAGAACCTCCGTCTCGCTCGACAGGGCCCTGCTGCGCGTCAGGCAAGCAGCGGTCACGGTGAGAGCGAGGAGCACTAAACTTATACCGAAGAATAGAGTGACTCTTGGGGAATGAAATTGGTTGAATATCCTGGGACGGGCAGTACTGTACATTCCAGAACGGCACGGTAGCAGGGAAATCCGTCAGACATAAAATATGAATTTCGGTGATTGATATTTATCTCACCCTTGCCCACCAGTAGCCGTGAATCCAATGCCTCAAACGCCTTCGCTATGCCAGCAATAAACCCGATAACTAGCCTCCAGCTTTTGTCCTTATTCAGGTTTTGGTCCTGCAACATCAAGCTGTTCCAATCCTTGCATGGGGTCAGGACCAGAATCTGCCACTGCTCCCTCATCATCTGCTGCATGTTCAGCCAGCCATCCTTCCTATGTATTGAGTTAGTAGCGTTGACAATAAATCTAGTTTATGCCGTACCTTTTCCCAAATAGCTGTCTTGCTGCCCAGTCCATCATCTGCGCTCTTGGGCGCCTTGGCTTGTGAGACCTTGAGGACCTTTCCGAAAAACTCCGATTGATCCATGTTATCGATGGCTTCCTTCGCATCTGCAGCATCCTCGTACTCGACATATGCGAAACCTCTATGGGCTTCTGTAGAGTTTGGCGCGTCAGGTTTTGGCACCTTGACCTCAACAATCTCACCGAATGGGATAAAGGCGTCTAGAACGTGGCTCTGAGTTGCCATTTGAGACAGGCCGCCTACATGGACTGTGGCCTTCCATCGAGCTGCGTCCGACATTGTTGCTTTATAATGTGAGTTCGAAAGATTAAATGAGAAATGGATGATGGTAAGTGAGCTTGGAAGCCGTTCGCGTTGAACTCACAGTAGGTATCCAATAGCATGGATTGACGAGGTTCTGTGTTATCACGTGATATCAAAATTCAAAGCTGACTTACACGACGAACCTTGAGCTCCATACTGCAGAATAGGTGCGCATGAACATTTATTTTTCGTTCTCCCTTACTGCCATACTATGGTTCAGTTGTTCCAACCAGTCCTTATTTATATGACTTTCAGGCTTGAAGTTGATCATTCAATGTACCTAGCATTTGTATGTAGTGTGTCTGTGCAACAAAAACTTGTAGTTGGAGCTGCATATGCATATCCACAGATAATTGTATCTATGAGATATATAAATCACATTTGCAAATTAAATCCAAGTTCTTGGTCCATTAGCTTGTTCAATTGAGTGTGTTTGTTCAGAGTCACGGATGAATGGACCTCTATCAGTTGCTGCTACCTTCATCTTGACTTCGCCACTATTGTCCAGTTTCTACAAACAATTACCACAAATAACTCCTCCAGCTCTCTTCGCTCCCCAAAATGTTTTATGAGCTGGCTGCGATTGTCTCATTAGTAGAGTATCTGAAATAGAAGCTTTCTGCACGTGATAGCTTGCCCCACCTCTCCTCGACAACTCAGGAGGCACGGACGTGGCCATAGGGAGCTCAGGAGCAAGTATGGGGCAGCCTGCAATCTGGCATCATACCTCCCACTACAAGACGCACCTCCACCGACCTGGCCTCGCTTTGCTTCACTTTCTTTTGAAGCATTACTGCGGGCAGAGGTGAAATACTCATTGTGAACTTTATGGCCTGTCCCCGGTCATAATTGCCCATTTTCTGACTTTATAAGCCTTGCCATTCTATCAAAACGTTATTCTAAGCTGGTCCATTCGTCGCATAAGTCAATCAACTCCCCACCATCACCATCATGGTGCGCCTTCGAGAGATTCCCCGAACGGCCGCCTTCGCCTGGTCTCCAGGTGCTGGCAAGCCCATCTTAGTCACTGGTACTCGTGCTGGAGCTGTTGATGTAGATTTTTCAGATGAGAGCAAGCTTGAGCTCTGGGATCTTGCTCTGGATGATCAACAGCAGGGCCTCGAGCTACAACCCGTCGCCAGCATCAGCACCGACGCTAGGTAGATACCCAAGCTTGCGCATGGAAAACGCCACGTTCTGATCAACTTACCAGGTTTTACGATGTCGCATGGGGTCCTCCCAACGAGGATCATCCCCGGGGTATCATCGCCGGCGCCCTCGAGAATGGATCTCTAGATCTTTGGGATGCTGAGAAGCTCATTGCCGGAGATTCAGATGCTCTTATCTCCCAGACATCAAAACACAGTGGTGCAATTAAGACATTAGAATTCAACCCATTGAAGCCCCAGATTCTGGCCACGGCCGGCTCCAAAGGAGAACTCTTCATCTACGACGTCAACGATATTGCCAATCCCTTCCGACTAGGAAACGCTGCTGCCCGATCCGACGATATCGAATGTCTCGCATGGAACCAAAAGGTTTCGCATATTCTTGCCACCGGCGGAAACGGTGGATTTGTCACGGTCTGGGACCTAAAGACTAAAAAGGCTTCTTTGACTCTCAACAACAACCGAAAGGCCGTCAGCTCTATTGCTTGGGATCCCAACAACTCAACGAAGCTCTTGACAGCAACTCCAGATGACAACAACCCTGTCATCCTGCTATGGAACCTTCGAAACTCCAATGCTCCTGAGAAGACACTTCAGGGACACGAGTCTGGCATTCTCTCTCTGTCTTGGTGCCAGCAAGATGCCGATCTCTTGCTTTCGTCAGGCAAGGACAACCGAACTATTGTGTGGAACCCTAGCACTGGCGAACGATACGGCGAATTGCCCGAAGTGACCAACTGGACTTTCCTCACCCGTTTCAACCCTCATAACCCCAACCTCTCAGCAACCGCCAGCTTCGATGGCAAGATCACGGTCCAGACTCTCCAGAACACCAACCCTGATACCTCCAAAGCAGCGGCTGAGAAGAATCTTGATGATGAGGACTTCTTCCGGGCTGCTCAGGATCAGCCTCAGGATGCCTCATGGTCTTTGGCCAAGGCTCCCAACTGGTTCGAGAGACCCGTCGGTGCCTCATTTGGTTTCGGCGGAAAGATTATTGTCTTCAGACCCAATGCCACGCAGCCTGGCCAAAAGCGCACCTCCAAGATCACGATCACCAACTTCTCCGTTGATTCTGATGTTTCGTCTGCCACCCAGAAGTTCCAGGATGATATTGCTTCTGGAAACATCACTGAAATTTGTGCCGACCGAGTCGAGAATGCCAAGACTGACGAAGAAAAGGCCGACTGGGAGGTAATGGGCACTTTGGTTGGCGAAAACCCTCGTGAAAAGATTGTCGAATATCTTGGTTTTAAGAAGGATGATCTCACAAATGGAAGTGCTGAGGAAACTACTGAGGATGCTGAAGAGGAAGAGGAAACCAAGACACCAACTGAGGAGGCTGAGGAAAAGAAGAGTAAGCGTGTTTCGAGCTTCTTTGAAGGCACTGAAGGCGACGGTGATGACTTCCTGTCCAACCTCGCCGCTACGAAGGGTGCCAAGACGGATAACCCCTTCCATCTCTTCAGCGACTCCGATACTTCCGTTGAAAAGAGCATCACAACTGCCCTGATGCTTGGTAACTTTGCCAAGGCAACTGACCTGTGCCTCAAAGAGGATCGATTTGCTGACGCATTCCTGATTGCCAACTGTGGCGGCCAAGAACTGGTTGACAAGGTTCAAGCTGCCTATTTGTCGCGCAAGACTGATATGCCAAGCTATATGCGTCTGCTCGGTTCTGTCATCACAAAGAATCTTTGGGACGTGGTCTACAATGCCGACCTGGAGAGCTGGAAAGAGACCATGGCTATCCTCTGCACCTTCTCCGACCCGACCGAATTCTCGGATCTCTGCGAGGCATTGGGTGACCGGATCAACGAGGAAGGTGACCGAAAGGATGCTTCGTTCTGCTACTTGGTCGGTTCCAAGCTTGAGAAGGTGGTGTCCATCTGGGCTGCTGAGCTTGATGAAGACGAACAGGCTGGACTGAAGGAGGAGTCTGGCGATTCTACCTTTTCTGTCCATGCTCGATCTCTGCAGAACTTCATCGAAAAGGTCACCGTCTTCCGCCATGCCACCAAGTTCCAGGACAGCGAGACGAATCTAGACTCGGACTGGAAGCTTTCCACCCTGTACAACAAGTACACCGAGTATGCTGATATCCTGGCTGGCCATGGCCAACTCGAGACTGCTCAGAAGTATCTCGACCTTCTCCCCTCGAACTATCCCGCTGCTGAGCTGGCAAGAAACCGCGTGCGCCTAGCTACCAAGAAGCCTGCTGCCCAGCCCGCTGCCCGAGTACCAGCATCATCAAGCCGAACCACATCCCGGGCTCAGCCTACTGTCGGATATCAGCCTCCCCAGCCGGCACTTGTCCCTGGAACCATAACCGGCCCCGGCCCTGCCAATCCTTACAGCAACATTGCTCCAAACCCTGCTGCTCCCCGATCCACTGGATCGCCTGCACAGTATCAGCCACCGATAAACCCTTATCAGCCACATAACAGTTACGCCGCTCCTGCGCAACCCGGTTATGGTGCGCCAGGTGGTTATCAACCTGCTGCTCAACCAGGATATGGTGCTCCTGCTCAACCTGGCTACGGCGCTCCCGCTCAACCTGCTTATGGTGCACTTGCTCCCTTGGCACCTCCCCCAATGGGCGGTCCTCCTCGCAACACCACTCCCTCGTCGGTAGCACCCGCGGCCAAGGTAAAGAACATGGACAACTGGAACGACGTGCCTCTTGTGACCAAGGCACCTCCAGCACGCAGAAGCACACCCAACGTTCAGCCTATCACTTCTCCTTTCCCTGGCCAGCCAGGCACAAGTGCTCCCCCACCCCCTAGCGGTTCTCCTTACGGGCAACGAACTGGAGCGACTCCGCCCCCTCCTCCTCCCAAGGGATCCGCGCCCCCTCGAGTTCAATCTCCCCTGGCAGCTCCTCCCCAGAACTTCCAGGCTCCTCCACCAGCTGCCAGTGGCCACAACCCTTACGCACCCCCTCCTCCCGCTGCTGGCGCAATCCCTTCGCCAATGCCAAACGCTCTCCCACGGACTGCGTCGCCGTACAATGCTCCTCCTGCCACGGCACCTCCCTCCAACCGATATGCTCCCACTCCTGCAGCCCAGCCACAGCAACAGTATAGCCAACCCCCAGGATCCATGCCACCTCCTGGAGCCGCCAGCCGTCCTCCCCCAGCTGGTTCGTTCAGCGCCCCGCCTCAGCAGTCAACTCCCGGCCAGTATGCTAGCTCGCCATACGGTGCTCCTCCTAGCCAGACATCCGCACCACCAACTGGGCCACCTCCTATGAATCGGCCTGGGCCTCCTGGAGGACCTGCTGGTACTGCTTCTCCCAGGCCAACTCCTCCTCCTCCCCAGTCCTCAGCGCCTCCCAAGGCCAGGCATCCTGCCGGTGACCGATCACATATCCCCCCCAACGCTCAACGCTTGGTAGACATCCTGAACCAAGATATGCAGCGTGTTGCTTCCAAAGCTCCTGCGACATTTGCGCCTCAGGTTAAAGATACACAGAAGCGACTTGGCTTGCTCTTTGACCACCTCAATAATGAGGAACTTGTTAAGCCTGACACAATTGAGCAATTGACTGAGCTCGCCAATGCTCTTGAGGCCAAGAACTACGATGGTGCACACAAGCTGCAGGTTGAGATCCAGCGAGACAAGACCGAGGAGTGTGGCAACTGGATGGTGAGTTCCCCCTGATCACAACGACTCGAGTGTTTAACTAATTCGACTACAGGTTGGTGTCAAGCGACTGGTTAGCATGAGCAAGGCTACGCCATGAGCAGAGTTTTATAATACAGCATGATTTGCACCTTGTCTATGGAACGTGTATGACGGGCTGTGGTTGTTGAATAGTTTAGCGAATGGTGCATGATTGGGAATGATATTCACGATGACACCCACGCTGAACATTTGGTAGAATAGAAAAGGTATATGCCAACGTTGTTATGTGTTTTCTACCGTATTGCCTTGACATGAATCACTTGGTGTAAATTATTTAGAATAAATAGGACGCCATCTTTCTACCTCATCAATTGTCACAATCTTGACTGTTGTATGGTTTGTGCTGTTGTTACAGTTGATTAGCTTTGATGTTTGGAACCCATCGGACAATCATGGCGGTTAGTTGATACAGTCCCCCTAGCAATATTGCCACATTTATAATAGGATTTTGAGGCATATGCTCGGAAAATCATGACAGCAACGTCTGGAGCTCAGCGTGTCAGTCATTTGCTCTGAATTTGCCTGTAATGTATTTGGGTGGCTGCCAACTGTGTCATTCACAATACGACTTGATAAACGAACAAGTGCAACGAAAAAGAATTTCATCTGAGTAAAATGGCATAAATGCAAAGACGACACCAGACAATACCAGAGCGTTTATGATAAAGTGTCTCTACCTATTGATGCTGACAGTCGGGTTTGCTAGATGATGTAGGGTAAGTTCCACAGGTAGGCCCTATCATGGCCAGCTGTCATATCGCTCCCGCCAATTCAAAGCTCACGCCGCACTCCACTTGGATGAAAGCACCACCTCATCGTCTAGACGCCAGTTAACTTCCATCCTTTCGATATAGGTCGTCACTAGAAAAACATCAAGTCATGACAGAGACAACACAAAGCCCAGAGGATACTGCTGCCCAGAGAGCTGCCGAGCAGGCCCGTCTCCGCAAGGAACGCCGTGA